TATTGTATTGCTGTCTCTTATACACATCCATTACCATAGGGGTCCGCGAAATTTTTGTTTTCAAGACGCCTGAAGATAACCTCTGAGGCGTTTTGGGCGATCAATTATTTCTTTAGGCTAGCAGTGTTAGAATAAGAATTCCCACCCCCGTCGGTCAACTGTAGTTTTCACCCCCGCCGACGCCACTGCGAGTTCGTCAGACAAAATACATTAATTTGCTGATCTAATTAATCTGTATAATTAATAAAATAAATAATGTTTGAATTGAATGTCTTCTGATAAGATCTTTTTCAATGAAATTTAAGAAACAAGCTTCGTCTGTAACAATTAATAATTTATTGCCTTATCCGAAATATTTGTTCACTAGCTGGAAAGTCATTGTTTTTTTTTATTGATTTTTTTTTTTTTTTTTGGCTTCTTCCGCACCGGCGGAAAAATTTTTGTTTTTTATTCTGGCCATTGGGCGCTTTTCACGCGTTTGCGGAAAAGCTGGTTGTTTTGTTCTGATTTCTTTTTTGTTGGGAAGGGGGATGGGGGGTCGGTTTTTCCGCACTTGAAAAATTTAACTGCTGTAAAATCTAACTAATGTCAACTCATCTATTATAACACATCTTAGTTTTTTTGATGAGGGAAACCCTAATCAGTTATAAAAACTGCTTTCCACAGGGCCCTCAACCATCATAAATACAAATACATAAGAATCGTTCAAACACAAGAGAAACGCACATGTTATACAAATTTAAATATCACCATAAAAAACAGCATACAATTTAATTTAAAGCGCGTAAAAATATAGACTTACAAGTGCGTAAAAATGTAGAATTATTATTATTATAAATATATAGACTCATTGTACACTAACATTTAACAATTACCGACCTATGTCTTATAAAAGATGATCCTTCTTTGTTTATAAAAAAAAAACATGTCACCTACATTTGGTTTTCTATCGAATGTTTATATTTTGTTCACTTGATCTTGAAAATGCGTCCATAATGGACCCGAAACGTCGATCCTTTATGTCAATAAATTTTGTGTTAAAATTATGTGGACCCATTTTAATATTTGGAAACATTTTTGACATATACATATTATATGATGTAAACACGTTTTGCAAAATTTGCATTTTTAATGGGGGTTTTCACCTCGGCTCCAAGTCTAGTTTTGTTTTCTGTATATTGTTTTGTTTTTGTTTTGTTTTCGTTTTGTTTTTGTTTTTTTTCGTGAATACCGTATAGATTTTAATTAGATGAATGTGTAGAATCAAACGCAGAGAGCATATCATTGGTTCAAAAACATTTCCGGCCATAGACCGTAAAATGAAAGGCCTTAACACCTTAACAAGAAAAAAAAATGCAAGAATAGCTTAGCGCTCACTTACCATAAACTGGGGTAACTTTGGCAGGCTTTTCACATTAAGGGGCAATGTATACAGCAAAACAACTTAATCGTTTTTCCCCCTATCATATTATATACATTTAAGGGTTACTGTTGCCACTGATTTCGGAGAAAAATAGAAATCTGCATACAATTCTTTCCTGGGGCCATAAAGGAGCTGCCAAAGTTGCCCTATGTTTGGGGCAACTTTGGCACTTCACAGATTTTCATTGAAGTAATATAAATATTGACAATAAAATAGACAAACACAAGCTGAATTGTATTGGCAAACAAATATCAATCAATATTAATAGAACCCAATAAAACTTAAAAGCAATCTGAAATCATTTAAAAAAAATTATATTTATACAGCATTAAAGGTATATAATATACAATCATGTTGGCTATCCAATTAGTCTGAATCACTCGCACATCAAAGCATCCTTTAATCATCCAATACAATAAATTGTTGTAATATTGCGCCCTCTGGAGTTGACGACAGATGTGGACAGATTTAAATATTTGCTGCGAAGCAGCCAATTCATATTCTTGACAGCAATTTGACCTCTGAAAGGTCATTGCTTGTCAAAAAAAACAAGGGCCTAAGACGACTGGGGAGTTCCCTTTTTTCGTTCTGCCGGGTAAAATCAATTACTTTAGGCGACGTTTGTAGACTAACCTACTCGTACCAACGTCCGCCCATGTGGCGACGCTCGAGTATTACTATTTAGCGTTTTTACTATATTTCTAGGTTTCCTATTTCTACGTTTAATCGGCCCATGTCTCAGCCACAATATTTTGAGGCCAATATTATTTACGAACCCAGTTAAATTTATTTACTAGCCTATTTCAGCGTGCTAATTATTACATTTAGGCGACGCTTGTTGTAGACTGGCATACACGGTACCAACGCTCGTTTTTACTATGTTTCTACGTCAGCTCGTCAGTGTTCTAATATAGATAGACAATGGGTGTGTCTCATATTATTTGTTATATTTTTATTATTCATTATTTTCACTTGACTCGCATAAATAATTTTGTTCGAAGAACATTTATATGCAGTTGTACTTCGCAGCACTTCACTTGCAATTTCTAGTATTAGGTATTAGGTACCGTAGGCTTACACCTGGCATGATATAACCAGTGTTTTTCTAACAAAGGCGAGTCGACCTGAGTTAGCTGTAATAAAGTTCTCAGTATTGATATATTGTATTGTGTACTATATATTCGTGTCAAAACAGAAAAGATGCAAACCTCTGTGTGTGTGTTTACAAAACTCGATCGTACGCCGTGACCCAAGGAACGGGACGAACTAGGCCAAAAACTAAAGAAGCATCAATATTTTTCAGCTCTCCAAAGATCGTAATCTTACGGTACATTGATATTGTGACAAATAAAAAATCTAATTAAAATGCCGAGGTACAAGTGTCAGTATGACATGCTGGCTTAAGTATAAAATTAAGTTGCCTACGCTGCCTACCTGCGCTGGTGACAGTTGTTAACTACTAGTACAGTATATGCAAACTATGATGGAAATGCATCTTCGATGGGGGCCTCTTGATCAATCACCTCTAGTTTAGTAGTGTGAATTCTACTCTAGGTCGTCCGAATCGAGAGACGTATAGGCCTACTGTATTTTGTTTACTATTAAAATTTAACTTGCGATGTTAAAAACATATCTGCTTCATGCTTTATGAATTAATTATACCCAAGGAGTTACGAACAAGACCGCTTATCTCGGTCGTTACATTCGGGAAACGGGAACCGAATTTCAAGTTTACATGCAAGTCTCCAGAGGCTACGCGCGACTAAGAACTGTCCATATTGCAAGTGGGGTATAAATATTTTTTTTACTACGATTAATACCAAAGAACATAGATAGAGGAAGAACGAGCAGCTCGTATTTTGCCGCTACAGTTGTAACGCTTTTTACCGAAATTGCGTCACATCATGCGAGTCAGGCCCTCTCGCGGCAGTGTGTGAACTGCTATGTAGATAATAATAATTACATGTAATAATGTGGGAGTGGGCTGCTTGCGATGCCATTTTTGACTTGCAGAGGACGGCCATTTCTAAACATTATATTTATTTATCGTAATTGTTAAACCAGAGTATATACTATTATTTTATTTTTTTATATTTATTTTTTGCACACTTCATTTTGTAGTGTTATATGAAGACGATTGTGTATATTTAGGTAAAATATATTCTTATGTATAAGCCTATGTTTGCATCAGTTGCCTGTTATGTCCTATTATCTAGTAACAAAACATTACATGATCTGAATTTTATTTCATAATGGCCTGTTTATATAATGTAGGCTTATACATTTAATTTATCAATAACGAATTTTCACTTGTATTTATCACTTGATAAGCGGCCTAATTTCTCATAGTACTGTAGTTTTGTAGATGATACTGTATATTGAAATACATTTAAACTCAGGCTTCTATTCAATGGCTTCGGACATTCCATTTTGGACTGCATCTACTGCTTGTTTTATATCATCGTCACTGAAAAATTGCACTGTTCGTCTTTCCATTTCCTCTCTCGTAATTACGAACCATGGTGGAACTGCAGTATGAGTAACTATTTAATATCAAACACTTTTTAAGCTAGAGGAGGAGGATAAGGTCAGGCACGGGAAGGCAGCTAGGCCAAGTTGATGCAAGGTGTATGTCTAGATTCATTGCCAGAGCTTAAACACGTTTTTAAAACAAAATTATAATATTGTTTCATAATCACACACTTGCTATGTTTTTTTTAAACTCATGATGACTTACCGTTCAAGGTCAAGCAAATAGTTGCTATAACAAACCCACGAATTTTCTGAATATTCTGATTTTTCTCAAGTGTTTGGCAAACAGTGGACAATCGGTAAAGTCTTCTGAACACGAATTACATTTGGCCAAGTCTTAAAGGCTTATCTTCGATTTGATTTTTTCCCTATTTATTCGCATTTTTAAACTACCCCTAAAATTAGGCTACGCCCCTGAAATCTTTCCTATACTTTTAAAAACACTTTTTTTTTTAAAGTCAAGCATGATATATTCAAATTATTTATTTCTTAGCAAGCTGGTAACAAACATTCGCCAATAAACTGAATAGAAAGACTCCAAACGAGCCGACCAAGTTTTCATGTTGCGAACTGCCAGGTTACCCTGCCTGCCAATGTTACCCCAGTTGGTTAAAAATGTATTTTAAGCATTTTGAAGGAGCGACCCGTTCAGTTTACCATTAATGATGATTTATTAGGGGGTTATATCATAACAAAAAGTAATACACAGAAAAACAAGGAATACTTCTAACCAAATTTAAAAGTAATATCCCGGTATAGTTTATGTCTATATACTATATTATACCGTACTCTATTATCTTTAAATTTTATTAATAAATAATAAAAAATTGTACAACTTACGATTCCCATGACTGCCTACTTCTTCAATTTCGTAAAGTGTGGCTTACTATATTACATCACGCTTTAAATACATTTTCTGGATACAGGCTTTGACCAATCCCGGCCAATTTTAATACTGTAAATGACGTTTGAATTTAACACGCCCATCCATTGATATGACGTTGGGAAAGACTGTGCATCAGTCATTGGATGTTGTAGAATAGGAATCACTGAATATAAAAAGTATATGCAACATTTTTCATGTGCAAGGGGATAGCCATCAATTTCAAAATGGCTGCAATTTTTGAATTGATTTTATTCCCAGAATTGTACATTTATGGTAAAAGATGTTAATATATTAAATACTCTTATATAAGTGACATTAGAAATAAAAATAATATTTCGCTTCAAATTTCAAATATTCAAATCCAAAATGGCGGGCATTTTAATTATTTTAGCTATTTTAGCATTTTATATATATTTAATATATAAAATTAATGATTTAATTAGGCCCGTACAAACCAGTCTTCAAAATGCAACAAATTGCAAACAATAGTATATATTATTAATTTTTTTAAAAACACACACACAATTGCAAGGTTGGTGAAATCTAGAAATTAAACCTTCGTTATATGCAAATTAGTTTAATTATACAAATTAGGGAGGAGATGCAGCATATCTTGGCAACGAATGATTGTACAGAATTGTCTTGTTGTTCAGAATTTACACATTTCTACTACTCAAATCACTAAGGGTACCGGATGCACAAAAACTGACAAAATATTCGTATTTTGGTAGTTAATCTGGATTAATTCACTATTTTTCCAAAGTTATATTCTTCTGGACCGTCGACTCTAAAATAGAAATCATGATTCTAAATTTTGTCAGTGATACTAATTCTATCACTGATTACTTTAACTCTTTTTTTTTTCACAAAGTGTCAGCTAATACCAAATAGTTCATTCTTAAGAATTGATGCAAATGACTTTCAGACAAAATCTCTAACAGAAATAATATCACTGCACCAAATGTCAAGCACCATTCTATCACTAAATCATACCTGGCAATTTCGAATGCACCAACGGCAAATACCTTGAGGCGAAGTGGTAATTTCCCATAAGAACACGTTTTTTTCTCAAGGTATTACCAGGGGTGGCGCCAGCGACCCCCTCCCCCTCTCACAGTCGGGAGTAAAACCGCAATCACAACTTGTTGGGAAAAATATTACATCTATTTTCTACATATTAGTAGACTCTAAAATCGATTAAATAAGCCTCTGAAACCAATAGAAATTGTCGGGGGTTTCTCCCCCTACCTTACTATAGGAATATTTTGAACGGCGCCCGAACAAGCCTATTTTTTCTCGTCGGAGTCATCGCCACCCCTCCCCCTCCTCCTCTGTCTGGAACTGTGTACTTCAAAAAGAAATAACTCTGCACGAACAGTGGTTGCCAGGATACATTGTATCTCATCACTAATTGCATATTTATGCTAATTTGCATATTAACTAACTGCATTTGTGTATTTTTACATTAAAAATTAAAATTGTTCGCAGTAAAACCTTCTGCTCAGTGAATCGGGACCCACGTGGTTTGGGGGGCCCCGGGACAAACCTCTCTGGTGGGGTTCAAATTGTACTTGCACTCTCACTTTATCGCGACATATGCGATCGGTAACGACTGACACCGACCAGTACGGTCGTGATAGTGTGAGAGCTGCTGAGAGCAACGTGCTCGCGACAGGGGAGAGGGTCGTTGATGGTCGTTGAATATTGACAAATGCATTGTGGTCAGTCCAAATTTAAAGCTAAAGTGGCCAATATTACTTTCCACCAATAAATGACAAGAAGAGTTTTCATGCATATTAAATAAGCCAAGGAAAATGCTCATGATGGGGGTCGACGCACGACGTATGACAGGCGCGTAACAGGGGTCTTGGTTCGGGGGGAGGGGGACAAAGGTAATAATTTTCCTGGTTCGTAATTTATCATACCCACCCCCCACCCCACCCGCCATATAGAAAACAATACGACATAGGGCTTATCTTATTTATAATATAGGCCACACACGTGTGTTTGAAACTAAATATAACCATTTTCATCATGGTTTTATTTATTACAAACATATTCTTTCACCATCAATACACATTGAGGCCCTACTTTTAGGTAAAACGATCTATCTTAAATGTTTGTATTTGAGTTGGGACTAGTGTGTTCAATTAACTTAGAAGGCAAAGGAGGACAAGCACAAATTGTCACTCTCCAAAATGCGCGCGAAGCGCGCAAATTTTTTTTTTTTTTTTTGAGTTTAGGGCTTATGTTATATATGGCCACACACGTTTTAGCCACACGTATAAGCATTTTCATTATGACTTTATTTATTACAAACATATTCTGTCACCATCATTACACATTGATGCTCTTCTTTTAGGTAAACGGATCTATTTTAAATTTTCTTTCTTGAGTTTTTGGACTATTATGTGTTTAAATAACTTAGAAGGAAAACCCTAAAAAAGCGCGCGAAGCGCGCAAAATATTTTTGTGTTTTTCGTCGGAATTGATCAAAACTCCCTAAAATGTGCAATTTTTAGAGGAATTGGCTTATTTACACAAGAAATGCGCGCGAAGCGCACGAAATTTGAGATTTTTAGGCACTTACAGGGTGTGAAAAGGGCATCTTCAAGGGGTGGGGAAAGATTTTCCACAGATGGATATTTTCCCCTTGTCCCCTGGTGGTTACGCCACTGCGGAGAATATCTGGCGGCTTAGATCAAAGGATTTATGGACACTTTTTGAAGTGGAGAAGGGGTTGCAGGGTGTTGTGAGTCTGGTCATTATGATATCTTCCTTTTTATTCTTGTCTTTATTTTTCCCTTCTCTTTTTCTTTTCCTTTTTCCTTTCCTTTTTTCCCCTTCCTTCTCTGTCCCTTCCTCTCCCCTCTTTCTTTTCTCGTATTACCCAGCCCGGTACGACGGCTTGGTCAGCCCGGTAAAAACCGTCAGGTCGTCAGGGGGGGGGGGGGGGGCAGTCTGCCCCCTGTCCCCCGCCTGTTACGCCACTGACGTACGATCACAGAGCTACGTGGTGATAGTGTGAGAGGGGCTACGATCGGAGGGCAGGTTCTACTTCCGGTCGGATACGACCGTAAGTCGGTACGTTCGCAGTGCTTGGTCGTGAAAATGTGGGAGGTGCTTAGACAACAATGGCATCACAGTACATTTAATTAAAAAATAAATATTTTTGGTTCGATGACGACCTCGTCGTGGCGTCGTACACCGGGGTGGAGGATGACGACTTCGTCGTGGCGTCAAACGACGGGGTGCGGGATCTCAAGGTTTGTCAGACGGGGGATGAGGGCATACCCATTTTCACAGCTTTCCTAAAGACCTCACCGCATCGCTCTCTGGAGTTTTTACTGTTTTAGGACTATCTAAATATAAAAACCACTGAAATTAGTCTATATCTAATAATTGCTGATTTCCTATGGTCATTGTCCTTCCACTCTACCCTGACCGAAGCCGGCGTAGGACCCGGGTTAAATTCCTGTTGAAAGTATCAGTACCATATCTTAATATTGACCCTCCACCCCAAGTTGATTCCCCTGATTCTTATTGCTCTAAGTATTTATCACCAGGTAGATCTGCCCTTATGATGGAAATACCTACATGGCCTCCTGCCATTAATTAACTCGTAAATATAACATAGAGCGCATATAGTCATTGTTATTAATATTGCATTATAAATTAACGTACTGTACCCTGGGTATACGTAACACATGTTTAATTTAATTAAAACACATCTTTTTATATGTATTTAACAATATCCACCAACTCGTATAAATATAATAGGCGAACGTTCCTCATAATTGCATTATATAATATAATTATGTTCATGTTTCTTGCACTTTATTTATTTATGTAGGAATACGCATGCTGTACCCTGTGTGTACATAACACATGTTTTATGTAATTAGCATACTGTCATTATTTTATAGCAAAACGCTAGGTTTTTGTAGTTTTAATCTTTGCTAAAATGTCTGGTCTGTCTCTGAGGTACAAATAGTAAGTTTTAAACAACTTTAAACAGTGATATTTATTATTTAATTTTTACTACTTTACTATTTTAACTTGTTAATATCTTAACGTATTTTTCGTCATTGCCAAGTTGTTTTGTCCTGTAATTTTTCATGTAATTTTATCCTTTTTAACTTTTAAGACTGTTGCAAAGAAAAAAAAACAAATGTTCTTTTTTAAAATGAGACACTGTTCTTGAATCTTGAATCTGTTTCATGGGTAGGCCTATTTGACATCATCCGTCAATTCGCATAACTAAAATAAGCCTAGTCATTGTTATTCATAGTGCATTATATAATGTGTTCGTGTTTCTTGCACTTTATGTTTTCATGGAGGAATAAGCATCTCATTTATAATTATGCAATTGATAAGAAATTTTGAAGAATTTGTTTTTCTACCATTTTCACCTAGTCACGCCACTTTTAAAACGCATTGTCGGATTCAATGGAGGTCCCGCCCCCTCCTAATTTTTAAAAGTCTAAAACATAATGGAGAGAAAAAAAAGAAAATTGCCAAACACATTTAAGTCCGAGAGTGCCAATTCCAGCAATTTAGAGGTACTATAATCATAAGATTTTCTACCTCAGTCGCAACTATGATGGGGCTCAGGTGGGTAGTCTGTGAATCACTGGAAATTGGTAAATTGATAAAATATATTATTGACATTTAACACATTTTGTAACTTTAAATAAAAAAAATAAACAATATCTGCTCAAAGAAACCATGTGAAGAAAAATTTGACCATGAGAATTTAAACATTAACTATGGGTTCTTTTATTTACATAATTGCATGTTTACTTGTTTTGATCTGTGTTTATGAATGTTTTTGTTTTACCACATTTAAAAACTACTTTCAATTAAATAGTTCCCTTCACAAATACAACACAAGGTCTAGATCAGATTTTCGATGATCAAAAAAAGACACATATAAAACCCAACAATAAATTACATATAAAGGCCCCAAATCTGGAACAAAATCCCCCAAAATATTAAAAACATAACTCCATCCATTTATTCAAAACATGTTAAGTAAGCTATCT